CCGCGATCCCGTAGAAGATTACAGAGAAGACTGCTTGAAAAATCATTAATCTACGTTTGTATTGAGAGCCGAAGCAGTTAGGAACGACAGAACGAAGGGCATTTATGGTCTTTTTTGCTTTACAACAAACCGCCCGGATGTGCTGGGACATCCTCAGACCCTTGTCCAAATAGAATCCAAGGTGTCTGAGGGATGTCCCAACACTAACCGGTACGTCGTCAACCACAATCTGCACATCCTTCAATCTCCTGGGAGCTTCGATCAAAAGGGCTTCTGTCTTTGTAGGCTCAAGGGTAAGATCTCTTTCATCTAATTTTGTCTTAACTAAACTAGTAACTCTATCTGTCTCAAGTTGTAAGTAGTCTGGTGAACACGAAATCACGAACAATAAATCGTCAGCGTAAGCAATGATCTTAGAGGGTTGTACATTAAGGTTAACAATTTCGTCGTAGATGAGGTTCCATAAAAGGGGTCCTAATATCGAGCCCTGGGCAGCTCCGGATGTTAATTTGATTAGGGTTCCATCAGATACCAAATATCTCTCTGATAGGTAGTTTTGAATAATTGCTAAAATATAAGGGGGGGCAAATTGTTTGACTAGGCACTCAATAACATCTCGCCATCGTAAGCTGTTAAAAGCATTTTTGACGTCCACCCCTATAAGGCACAGGGTTCTTCTGTGTCTCCAAGGGAGGAGTCTGTTTTCGTCATAAATTTTCCTAAGGGCGCGGAGGGCATCCAGAGTCGATCTTCCCCTGCGGAACCCATATTGATTATCAGAAATTTTAACAAAAGTAAGCATACGGTCATATAAAATATATTCTAAAAGTTTGGAGAAGCAGTTGAGCATACAAATCGGTCTGTAACGTACATCAGCGGTTGGTGAATTGGAATTTTTTGCAATTAGCGCCAATCTTGCAATTTTCCAGTTGTCTGGGAATACTGATGAGGTTAGAAGAGTATTAAACATTTGTGTAACATGATTAATATTGGAAGAGACAAAAGTTTTGACGATTACTGGGTCGATGTGGTCCGGACCTGGCGCTTTTTTAGGTTTAAGTCGGTTAAGGGCATTTAGTAATTCACCTGTCGTAATTAAAGGAATGTCTTCCTTAATCACTGCAGGTTTATCCCAGGTTACAATTGGGTGAGAAGGAAAAAGGTCTGATATCAGTCTTCTATTCTCTTGCAATGACAATGTGTGTGCATCGTGTCTTTTATTATTTTTAAAACGATACATGACCGATTTGTACGCTCTTCCGTACGGGTCTTTTTCTAGATCATTAACCCAAGTTTTCCATGTCTTTCTCTTAGAGCTAGTGATTTCGGTTGCTAAAAGAGAACGAGCTTCCTTGAGTTTTGTCTTCAGAATACTGGTAGGTCTGTGTTGACTATTGAAAAACGAAATTTTTCGATGGAGTTTGAAGACTGATTTACGAAGGGTTTTAATATTCTCGTTCCACCAGTATTTAGCAGGTTTTTTCTGAACGCTGTCTTTTCTTATAAAATGTGAATTACAAAGATCCGTAAGAATTCTCTCACAGTCTAATGGTGTCAATTCCTCAGTAAGCTCGTTAACTCTTAGTCTGGACTCTTTAGCGAGAAGTGGGAGTTTTTTAGTATCAATGAACCAGCCTTGCTGATTATTATTAGTTATCTCATCATTTTTTTCACTGTAATTAATCTGCACACATCTATGGTCACTTAGAATATCATGGTGAAGTACCTTAATCTTAACATATCTGGCTATATCCTGAGAAGTAATAACTAAATCTATCACAGATTTGCCGTTGGTGCCATAAAAAGTGGGAATAAAATTAAAAGAGTCGTTATGTACAATTAAATCGTTACCTAGAATCCACTCAGACAGAATTTTCCCTCTTGAGTTTTCCTCTGTGTCTCCCCATAGGGGGGAGCGAGAATTGAAATCCCCAGTGATCATTATCGGACCCTCGGTGTCTTTTAAAGCAATTTCCAGCTTGGATAAAGAAGTTTTAAACTGTTCTGTGGTAAATTTGGTGTTAAAATAACAGTTGAAAAAAGTGATTCGGTCCTTTTTAAAAGAGATAAACTCATCTGATTGGATCCATGAGTTAGTCCCTCCCACTAAGTTACGGCAAGTGTAGGCGCCTGCTCTATTAGCTATATCTAGATAAATCCCATCTCTCTTAGCTCTGTCAATATTTGGTTCGGTTACAAACATAATGCCAATATTCTTAAGATCTACTAATTGGAGGTAGAAGTCGTGTGCACAGTCTCTTTTTTTTAAATTTGCCAAAAGGGCATTAAAGTCGTTAGAAAATTCACATAAGGTTTCGGTGTGGGCAGAGTTCGGTATTTTGGGTAACAGGTGGTATCGTTGTTGAGTTGAGCTCCTGTGGTTGGCTCTTCTTGACTGATTTCGGCTGGTTGAGAAGGTCTGTGATGTGTCATCATCTCCCTGGGTAGAGTCGAAAGTAGATAATAGTGCATTTTCGGTTGAATGATGAGGAGAGTAGGATTGTGGTATATTTAAGATTTCTGATTCTTGCGGGTTCCATCCTAGATCGTCGGGATCTTCATCGTCTATTGGTAGAATGTTGAAAGAGTTTTTCGATGGTGTCTTTTGTCTATTGTGATTTGTTTTTGTGTTGATCTGATTCTCAGGTAGGTTTCTTTTGAAGAGGTTTTTTGGTTCCTGTTTTGGATTTGATAGTTGATAATTCTGGGGTTTGAGTTTTTTCTCTATTTTTGACATAAAATTCCCGAACAGATTGTTGTCTATGTATTTAGTTATTGATTTTTCCGAATCACTTGATGGGTAGATTTCTTCATGTGCATCAGGGTTCTTAGGCTGTCGATTCTCCATTGGTGGGTGATATTGTTATCCCTCCTTTGTCCTCTGCTTCGTTCCAGAAGTATTTTTTACTTCTTCTTTGCGTTTCTATATGTACAAATGGGCAAATTTGGCTTCCGGTGGTGTGGTTTGTGTCTGGTTTCTTTGCTGCTGCACAGTGTATGCATCTGATTTTGTTTTTACATTCACTGCCCTTGTGATTGGATTTCCCGCATTTGTAGCATATGTATTTGTCTTCTTTTATTTCGCAAAATCGTGTTTGGTGTGATAGAGAACCGCATTTTCGACACGGAAGAACTAGAACCGTTGGATAAATTTTACATCTTGTACATCCTATGTAGACAAGTTGTGTTTTATCAAAGATCTCTGATAGTTCTGATGTTGCGTTAAAGAAAACTGTTTGAAGACTATCCTTTGAATATCTTCCAGTTACCTTGAAAGTGGCAACATGTTTGAGATTTTCGTCCAGTTTTTCCCTTTTCCAGCCTCTTTCTTGCAAGTTTTTCTCTAATAGATCTTGTAATATATCTTCCGTATTTAAACATGCGTCTATATTCGTTATCTTGTATGTGTATATTTTCTTCGGTTCTATTTCTCTGTAAGTCGTCTCGGATTCATCTAATTTTTGTTTTATTTCTTCCGCCGATTTTTGATCCGTTATTGCCAATGTCACTCCATTTTTGCTTGTGATAACTCGGTCAATTTTTACATTTATGTTGTGCTTTTTCAGTTTGTCAGCGAATGAATCCCTATCCGTGTCAGGAATATGTAGTTTTTTCATATTTGGATTCATGGTATCTTTTGCTTTGCGTATATTCTTCCCTAGTTGTACGTTCCATGGTTCTTCTTTTTCTTTAAGTACTGTGTTGGTGCTTTTCATTGCGTCGAACATTTTGTTGTTGTTTTCATAGATTTTGTCTATTTTCTTAGTCATTTCTTTATTGCTTTCTATTTGGGGTTTTTCTTTTAATTTCTTGTTTTCTTCTTTTAGTTTTTCGATTTCTTTTTCTTGATTTTTGATAGTTTTGTCTTTATCGTTTAGTTCTTTTTTATATTGTTCTATCTGTTTAGAGATAAATGTATTTTCTAAGATATCATTTATTTTTGAATTTATCTCTTTATGTATATTATTCATGTAATCTTTCATGATTTCATGCATTTGTTTTTCTCCGGTTTTCTTCAAGTTTTCCAGTAAGTTCTCTATTTTTTCTATTATTTGTGGCGATTCTCTGTTTATTTTGGGTTCTTCCTTATTCTTTGAGACTGGTGTTTTGTTTTCGGTGGGTTTTTTGTTCGGTTTTTCTTCTTTTCCATTGTGTGTTTTCTCTTTTGGTTGATTTTGGGCCTTGTTGATTTTAGTGTTGAAGGAGGTAAGTTTTTTCTCTTCTCTTTCTCCTTCTCCCGTTGGTAGTTTGTTATATCCCTTCGTAGTTTGTTGTTGTTGTTGTTGTTGTTGTTGTTGTTGTTGTTGTTTCTTTTTATCTCCTTTTTTATCTTCTTTGTTGAGTTGATCATATTTGATTCCTTTTTCGAACTCAATTTCCATTTCTGAATCTGTTTGGTATGTATCTTGTGTTGGTTTGGTTTTTGCTGTTAGAGTTGGTGTAGGTGTAGATGTTCTTATGTCAGCTTTAGTATTTCTTGTATTTTTTAGTGGGGGTCGTTTTTTCTCGATTTTGCTCTTGAATTTACGCTTACGAGATGAAGTTGTTATTTCAGGATCTGAAAAGGTTTTGTTCAGATCATTGTCTTCATCACTACTGATGTTTGGTGTATCGTTTTTGTATCTTCTTTTAGAGCCTTGTTCTTCTTTTGATTCTATATTTTGAGTTTCCATGGGTACCACGGTAGATTCCTCTTCTCTATCTTTATCGGTAGAATTCCCTTCTGCTGAAAGCACGTTAAACTTCACATTTAACATTACCCAAGTTTTATGAATAAATGAAACTTCAAACCTGAAACCTGGTTCAAACTGAAAGCGACTAGATGTATCTCTATTAAACGTGGTTGATTTTATGCGTAACGGCAAAACAGAGGCTGCCAACAAGTAACCTCTCTGTAACAACGAAAATTGGATGGTAAATTTTTTTTTTTTTTTTTT